TATCGGCACCCGAGATGATCGCTTCCAATGCCATTGCTGTGGTAAGTACGCTTGTATGTTAATGAGTATGAGATTATATTGATTGATTGTTTTTTGTTTTACATTTAATTGTAGACTTTTGGCAACAAGATTATGGGAAACTTTGCCCTCATCATACCCATTATGGTGGCCATCTCGGCTTTTGGCGGCCTCTCAGTACACATTATGACATCGTCGCGTATGTGCTTTGTCGGCGCGCGAAATGGACATATGCCCGCAGTGCTTTCTCACATTAGTGTTAAGAGCTACACGCCGTTGCCTTCGCTAGCTTTTCTGGTAAGCGGTTGTCTGACTTCTAACTTGACTTATTGATTGAAAGGAAGTTGACTAATTGAACTTGTTTGCCCTGTAGTGTCTGCTATCAATTGTGATGCTGCTTGTGAGCGATGTGTATGTGCTTATCACTTATTCCAGCATTGTGGAATCTTTCTTTATTATGCTATCGGTGTCGGCTGTTTTGTACTTTCGCTACAAGCGCCCCACTATGGACCGGCCAATTAAAGTGAGTTCTGCGGCTTTCTTATGAATCTTTTGACAAATATTCGTATGTATATGCATATATAAATATTTTCCTTTGGTCAGGTCTCGTTGTGGATACCCGCAGTGTTTGTCATTGTGTGCGCCTTTCTGGTGGTCGTTCCGGTTTATGTTGCGCCATTTGAGGTCGCTATGGGCTTGCTAATAACGCTAATTGGCATCCCATTCTATTACGTCGGCATCGTGTGGAAGAATAAACCAATATGGGTGCAGCACGCGATTGGTGCGTAGACGAGCGGCGTGTGTTGTGGGGGCCTTTGGCCTTGACACTCGACACGTTTGGTCATTAAAACCTACATTTACACATTCACATATTACCAGCTAAAAATAATCTATTTGCATTTTATGTACTTTCTAGATTCAGTGACATTTACGTGCCAAAAACTCTTCTTGTCCGCCAAGGAGGAGAAAGAGGATTAATTAAAGACAAGGATATAGATAAGAGAATTCATCACAAATATACAATACATCACAATCGATACATTACAAACGACACATCACAAAAAATGGAAGAAAAGAATGTTGACCATGAGTGCAAAGGCATCGAATATTATTTTTAAATATTTATGTATTTGACACATTTGTGCACTACGTAAATTGTTAAGTTCCAGTTATAATGCTTTCTGTATACCACAAATTAGAGATTGGTTTGTTCATTTTTTTTTTCCATATTTACGTGACAAGGAACAACATGTAAATGGTTTTTATTTACCTTATTTCGATCATGTACCATAGACTATTTGCCAGATCATATATGTGTGTTTATGTAGGCTTATAAATTATATTAATAATATCTTGTTAGACCAAAGTACACCAATGTAATATGCCAAAGTTCATAATACATTAATAATTTATTATTCATCACAGACTACCAAAATGTATACAGCCAAATTATTTCAGTTCGATTGATATTATCTATGTGTTTTTTTTTTCTCATTTTATATTACAAATTGTATTTTATAACCTAAGAGAAACTGAATAAAGAAACTTTTACATGTTAAATGTGATCTTTTAGGCGGCAGGTCTTGTCGCAGAAAAAGTATGCAATGCAAACTCTAAAATTGTAAATAGTTTAACATACGGTCACGGCGTATTTGTCGTCATTGCCATTGTCCGACCGATAATGAATTGGTGCTGATAAGCCATATAAATAGAATGTACTTATTTTTAAGCCCAGTAAGACAGTATAATGTACGATGCTCGGCAATTTGCTGGCAGGTTTTTGTCTAAAAATAAACCCCTAGCTACTGGCCGCACAAATAGCCTTTGGACATTCCCGGCACGTCGCCGTCGCCTGACGACAGCTTTACGGATTGTATCTGAGAACATGAACGAAGCACATGTAGTAGTCCTCTGTCTATCTGTCTAGTGTGTAAATATGCCATGAATCGATCTCAATATCTAGGTGTTTTTAATTGATAAAAGAATAGTGCGCCTTTCGAGCTGCTTGTCATTCTGCTCAGGCACTCTCATTTGATTATCTGATCAAGATTTCGCGTACCTATGGCTAAGTGTTTTGTATGGGCCGTGCGCTAAATTCATAGCCGTTTTCAGTTTTTTATTTCACTTTTTATAGTTTTTAAATATATGCCAGAGAAAAGACAAATTACTTAAGTATTGTCATGAGTAGCAAATTTCAGCTTTATCGCTTTCTTTAATGTTTGAATAATTGTGCTTAAATGTGATCATCATTTCGGATGTGCAACGCTCTGCATTCCAAATTGCTGCGCCCATAGCTCTGGCAATTTATATAGATCTATACTGTGGGATACGTACATGTTTAGATATATTGTAAAACAAGCATCTAGTCAATGATAAAATCGGATGTGAATCAAATGAAATTATTACAAGATCAGTCATTTTAAGGGCATAGGCGAGCTTCATAATATATATGTTTTTCTGTAAAGGATGTGATCTTGATGGGAATAGCTCTAAGATTGAGTTATACAGTTATTATCAGACTCCCACTTCTCTATGTGGTGTATATAGAATTTAAATTTGTATGGGGAAAGATTCCAATTTCATATATCTGCCGACCCCGAAATGGGTTAGCTAAGAACAAGTAATACGAGAAAGACGATCCAATACATGGTCGGACAGAGAGATCATCGGACAGTCAGATGAGAGGACAGATAGATAAACAGCAAGTATAAATCCCATATAGTATAATAATATAACAATGTATATTTTAGACTATTGATTCTATGAGTTTTCACCGTTTGTTTAGTTATATATGTGTTTATTTATCAAATGGAAATTTCGCCTTGGCACAGTTAACTACTTTTCAGCTGATTTAATTAATTAACAATTGAAATAGGTATAGTAAATCTATTAATATACAACAAGTATTTCCCAGCTCAATTATGATATAACATTACATCGAGGTACGTATACATATATGCCCATATATAATGTACAAAAACTTGTATATCCTGCAATTTCGAGCACGTGCTTATCATATGCTGTCGATTAACACATTCAGGCAACACATTCGACTATCATTAAGATATCGTGCTAAATCGTTTAAATACGACAAACTAACAGTTATCACGCGTTCCCAAAATGTTCTATAAATCTAGACTGGAAATCAAGCGACATATACATTTCACTTCTAATTGATTACGCTCATTTCTATGAATTATGAAACACAATTAAGAAAAAAAAAAAAACAAGCAAAGTTGAATAAAATGTAGCCTACCGAAATATCTCACCTATTATGTGCATGTGAGGATAACTACTAATTGCTCGAAATGATATTTGTTTTTTTTTTTCCCAAGGTCTCGATTGGAGTTTGGAACTGAATTCGATTGAAATTCCAACTGTGTGGCATATTATCGTATAATGTACGAGCTCGTAAGTAGATGTAGGTTCAAAATGCATTCATTTTCGAATTGTCAAGCACGATTTTGTTTCTTTGCAATATCCAAATATGTCACGAGCTTCCGATAGACATTTAAATAAAAAATGTTTATGCCCTGAAAAATCACAATTATTTCAATTGGAATAACATTGCAAAGAGGAAGGCTTGGGACTCACATGAAAACGGAGCTGAATTTAGAAACAAACAATCTGAATGGGAAATATGTTTATTATTTACGTTGAACTGAATACGTGTCAACAATTGGGAGTTCTCTAGTGTAATTTTGTATATATTTCTTGTTTTGTGTAAGACCAATATACCTAATCCTAATAGCTATTATGCGTATAGTCTATCATATTTATGCATAGTCATGCGGAAATGTCTCACACTTAACGTGTGAAAATTCGCTGAATGACTGTGTTTGGGCTCATCTAATTTCATTTGATTATGATACCCACGCGTACAATTAGTAGCAGTTTGTTTTTTTGTTTTTATCAATATTTACCAAGCATTAGATATGTCTCAGCCCTATATAAGAGTTGGAATGCAAAACAAAATATTATCAAATGATTGAAAGCCGTTTCCTTCTTGTGTTTGCCTTCAGCATTAACCGAGCGCGAATTGTGATTAATCATCTTCGTTTTCTTTTGCATTCTAATTAATGTTGAGCATACACAGTGTGGTGCATTTAGTTGAAGTGAATTTCAGGCGCACGTAATGCTACTTCAAATTGGATTTCATTAAGCGAACGGCATTAGAGCAAAGCTACAACAGCTCAATACTTCAATACCCATTGACAAAACGATCGATGGATCGATGGATCGATCGTGTGCTCGGTCGTAGTCTGGTGTTGTTTGTGCGATTTTGATAGTAGCATGTGTGTGTAGGTTTGTGCATACCTTGTAAATGTGTATTGAAGAGTATGTCGATTGTGTAATATTATGTAACAGTTCTATAGGAAATCATATGAAAAATAATTTAAGACAGGTCCAGAGTAATCTAATTGTAATATATTATATAATAATATGTATATGTCTTACATACTACATGGAATATAGCATTGTACACCTAAAACCTACTAACGTATACCTTGTAAGTAGTACCGACCACCTTGTATATACCACCTAGTATACTGTATACTGTATACTCTATATAGTATATTTAATCTTATATTACCTTGTATCTTGTTAGCGGATTGTTGTACCTATTACCTTATGTCGTACAAAGTACAGTAAATTGTACCTTACATATTACCTATTGCCTAGTACCTAGTATTTTGTACTTTGTGCATTGTACCTACCATCTACCATTCCTTATGTAGCATACGCAAATTGTACCTAAAACTCTATACCACTCTATATATATAATATCTAAATTGTATCTAGCACATAAATTTTGTTATAGGGTATCTCTCAGTCAGCAATGCTGAGCAAGACTGCCTTGTATTTTATGGCCGCTGTCGAGAGCGCGGAGCACGCGCTATATGCGGGGATTTGAGCTTTCGAATTTTTCAATTAGTTCGTTGACGCTTGGGGAAGTTGTGAAGGTGCTTGAAACGCTAAACGTCCGCGCAGTTTAGAATCGACCAGCCAAGCGCAAAGGTGTTGCAAGGTGTTCTACCAGTGCTCGGTGATCAGGAGTGCTGCTCAGTGTAGAAGCAAGCCTTGAGATATATTGCTTTGCAATATAAATACAAATAATAATAATAATCAACGCCTGCGATGCACCTGCTAATACTACAAGCAGCTTTTCTTGTGATCTGCTGGTCTCAAGGTAAAAACAATTGCTCGTAAATATTGTGATACCCAAGTGTTACATAACAGCTGACAGGCTGGCAGGCGACGGACGATAGACGACAGGAAACAGCCTGTGGTCATGTGATACCTTTGACCATTGTACCAAAAGTGCAGTCATCGAATAAATCAATGAAAAGCAAAAGTGATAATCATAAATACTGAAGGTGCCCCGGCAAAGCCCAATCAGTATCAATTTCACGCCGAACATACGAAACTGTTTCAGCTCTTATCTTTGATAAGTCAACAATGAGCGTACGACCTGACAGTGTGCCACCAAATGTCAAGGCTACGGTGAATCATTTTCACTGATATCTACCTGACTAGGATAGCTATATTTAGATATTTACCAATTTATGATAGTACAGCTCGAAGTACTACCAAATTCACACTTTACACAAATTCGATTGCCGTAGATTTATGGTATTTACGTGCACTTGAAACTTTTTCAATTGCGAAATACCAATTAATACATTTATTGCTGTCATTGATTTTGATTAAGCACACTTCAGTGATATAAATAGGCTGGTAGCTAGTGAGTACCCTAACTTACATAACAAACTTATCTGTTGCGCGATCTCATCGTGATACTCGACTCCAAGAGAAAACAAAGCAATAATCAAGAGTTAATTCTCAAATAATCAATAAATTAGCTACTCTTAGAACTGAAGCGATCACTTTAGAGATCATCATATGATCGATGTTGATATCGTGTTAAACGATTTGAGTATGCTTTAATTAAGCAAGAGTTTTGTTTATTTACAGCTTATCGTCTATAATTCAGTATATATTTTTATGTATACACTCATTGGAGATATGAGTCGAAATATTTTCGTATTAGGATAGGCCTGGAGTCTATTCTTAGCGTTAATGCCATCATATGTATTTTTATATTTCATTAGTGTTTGTTTTTATTGATATTATAACTGTTATTGCGTCAACGTGCTTTGAACCTATTACTTATTATTGATATTAATTATTTATTAAAATTATGTATATTACTATATTATATTATTATATTACTTATTAACTCTTCGGTATTTTATCTTTATAAGTCTCAATATCTTTTCCAAGCAGTCACATTTGTTTTTTTTTTTTGGCTCTGCTTTGACTAGTCTACCAGGTCAATCCTTCATCATCGTGATGTCAGAGGAATAGATCGGTTACATTTTTTGTTCACTTCTGTTTTACACTTCATCAGATATAATATTTATTGTTACATGACCATTATTATTATTATCTTTTCATAATTCAATTAAGTGCCTTTATAAAAAAGATTCTAGGCGATAATATGGGTTCACATCAGTTCACATCGGTTAGCTCAATATCACGATCGTTTCGTGTTTCGATCTACTTTCCACTTATTATTCTAATTCATTATTTCGATAATGCCAATTAGTATAAATGCAAAAATAAATATTTTTCTATCTGTGTGCTAATTGAGACGTGTAGAAATATATAATTGTCATATGATATGCATGCTAATAGCCAGTTTTGCTATTGGCTTTCTATGTGGGTTAACTTTTCCAGTTATCATAGACGAAATAATGGTTGGGACTTGTATAACATAGGCTCGAATTCAGACCGTGGAGTCAGACAGGTGGTAAAAAATTATTGAAAAATATTTACCTGCTACGCTCATTATCATTACAGAATCAATATCAATATCAATGATTGTGGGCCGATATCTATATATACATATATTATATATATTGTATTTAGCATGGCCTTGTGCTTTCTTTATAAAACTCATTTATTGATTTATCTATTTGCTAGACAGCCAACAGTTAGCATTTGTTTGCGCTCCCATTTATTTGCAATAATTCACAACTGCTCGTATATGTCACTGATAAGCGCTGTGTGCGGCGCACGTGATATGGTTTTGATGTTCCCCAACTAAATATTAGGGGTTAGCACTAGGCACACACTGCGACTCACCGTCTACCACATATTTATCAAAACATATTTTATCATTCTTCTTTTGCAGTGGCCAATGGTCATGTGTTCGGCTACTCGGAGCCCAATCAGAGGCGTTGGGCGCGTCATCACGGACACTGTGCGGGCAAGACACAGTCACCCATAGCCATCACCTCCAGCCATGTAAGTGTACTGTGAGAAAATTCGAATTAATTTGTAAGCAAAAAGCAAATTCAATTAAATAATTACCAAAGCTAAAATTAATATATACATACATATATTACGAGCACTCAAAAAATTTAGTAAAAATAAAATCAATTTTTTGAAAAACATATATTAATTCAATATATAAAAGTTTTTATAATAGTTTGTATTATACAAATATAAAAATATTAAACCAATTTTATTATTTAACTCTTTTTCTTGTTCATTTGTATGCATTTCATAAACCCTATTTCTTTAAGTGTATTAGTGTATTACACAGTCAAATTATTAACCGTTACCCATTTGAATTACTCATATTATTGCAGACAATACCCTTACACATGCCGGCAGTGGATATGATTGGCTATCACAATCTGCTGCCATATCCGCTGAAAATGATTAACAATGGCCACACGGGTAAGCGGGCGAGGGGGTGTCCACATAATTCCACTGATTAATTATCGCGTTTTCGTTCACCAGTCACCATTGGCATACCCAAGCTAAACAGCAGCGAGGAGCTGTACGAGTTCCTGCCGTATATACGGGGCGCTAAGCTGCCCGGCGAGTTCGAAGTGGAGGGTCTGCACTTCCACTGGGGCGACAAGAACAATCGTGGCTCCGAGCACGTCATCAACGACATTCGCTACACCATGGAAATGCATATTGTGCATCGCAACAAGAAATATGCGACGCTGGGCGAGGCACTAAACCATCCCGATGGTGCGGCGGTGCTGGGCTTCTTTTTCAATGTGAGTGCCGGCAGCAGCATTAGGCAAATGTGTTCCAAGCTAATTTCGATTCCCTCTACAGCTGGATGAGGATGAGGGCCTGGGACTGGTGACCATCAATCGTCATCTGCACCTGATCGCCGAAGCCAACCAGGAGGCGGCACTAAATGTCACATTTTCGCTATCCTCGCTGATTGCCAATGTGGATGTGGACAAGTTCTACACATACAAGGGTAAGCGGGGCGTATGATTGATTTTTCAAATGCTCGCCCAGATATGTGAGAAGAGAGCATATTGATTTGTGTGATAAAGAGCTGGAAAATGTTTCCTATATATCAATAAGATCAACAAGGGGTTATAGTATTATTTTGATTAGAAGCTAGTACATTTATAAAACTACGGTGGCCATATTTAGCACATAGCCATGTGAATGATGTCTAGCATTAGATCAAATATATTTTATTTTAGACATGTCGAGTGTTTAGGCAATGACAGATTCTCAATATCTTCAACATTTTCAAAGGTAGGGTGAGCATATTTAGCATACGTATGTATGTTGATGATTGATGACGTCAAGTGCTAAATCAATTAATAACAATAGATAACGTAGGGTGACCATAATTGGCATATACTTAGGTTGATAACATCTCTTAGATGAATTATTAGTTTGCTTTCTGATATAAGAGCGAATATGAGGCAGTCGATTACACCCGACTGTCTGAGAGTTAGGGCTGTATATTGATGTACTCTATTATGTTGAAATACAAATATATATTGTATGCATTTATATTTTGTATTACTTCCCCTACAGTGATTGTGCGAGTTTCAGACAGTCAGTTACACCCTACAGCACAGAATTTTTAAGTGTTTTGCATGGGTGCAGCATTGCAGCTGTCACCGTGTCATATGCCATGTACATTGGCATGACTTTTGATTGTATGAATTTATGAGGGAATGGCTTTTAACACTTAATATTCCGTTTGCAGGCTCGCTGACGACGCCGCCCTGCTCGGAGGCCGTCACCTGGATACTGTTTCCCGATCCCATACCCATATCGCCCAAGCAGGTGAGTAACCAATGCATCAGAGCGCAGTGCGTATAAGTAATGTGATTTGTTATTGCTTTGCAGATCTCTCGTTTCCGCCAGCTGTCGGACACGCAGGATGGCGCCTTGGTGGACAACTTCCGAACGCTGCAGCCCGTCGGCAATCGCCGGATCTTTGCGCGCACCGGACACGTGCGCCACACATCGATTGCGGCTCTGAAGCACGAGGGCGACTATCTCAAGTACGATTGGTTCTATTGAGTGGCCAAGCTGTGTGGATGCTCAGTGTGCCATGCTACGTTAGACTAGTCTAAGCAATTAGTTCTTTTTGCATTTATTATTTAATTGTAAGCTAAAATCCTCTCAATAAGTAAATAATGTTATGCTGTCAGACGTGATTTGCGACCGTAGAGCTGCAGCGAATTGGGTATATCCTCTACGAAGAAATTGGCTGGCATCAGACTAAACATCTTCTTCAGCAGATCGAACAATGTGCTCTGCAGAGTTTCCGAGATCAGTGGACGGAACGTCTCGAAGAAACTTCTCCAGTTCTCATTGAAGAACTCATTCGTGCTCTGCTCCACCTCCTTGCTGTGCCCATTGAACAAATTGCCCAAATACGTGCGCACATGGCCCACCTTCAGCTTGACGCTCACGTCAGTCACATTGTAGAAGGTGTAGCCGCCCTTCTCGTATAGTCGCGTCTTGGCATTGAGCAGAATGTCTAGATCATCTGTCAGGGAATTAGATATATGTATGTATATTTCTGATTCGCTGTATATATGTATTTATGTGTAATCACCAATCTCTATAAATATGTTGCCGTTTCCATGCAACGGTATTATTAAGACACTTCCGATCATCTGGTATTTACCGTCTAAGCGCAAACGCGGTATATAGATTTTAGCCAGCCAACTAAAGTCCTTTTTGCTGACCCTGATATAAAGAGTTGATATAGTTTAAATTTGAAATTTTAGAAAGACGGATGTAAAAATATATTGTATATACGGTATGCCATAGTCAAATTGTAGTTTGAATTATCATTTTTTTCTATTATTTATATCCTTTCTGTTCTGTTCTTCTATTTCCATCTCATTCCCACTATTTTCTTTTCTTCGCTTTTATTTCTTTCTCTTTATTTTTGCTTCCACTTTTCTCTTTCATTTTTGTTTTCCCTATTGTATTCTTAGTATTCTTCAATATCTATTTCTTTTTCTACCTTCTATTTTCTAATCTCGCTTTCTTTTTCTGTTGGTTTCCTTTTCTTTTCTCATCTTCTTTTTCCATTACATTTCTCTTTTGTTGTTCTCATTCCATCAATCAATATACATATATAACAGTTGTAATAATAACACACCCTGTTTATAAGCTAGATATACACGTGCAATGAACGTCTCCAGTGATCTAGATGTTCAATATCAATATTAATAGGTATGCTACATAGAACTGAGTGCAGTGTGTACTGAGAATGTTATGAGTTACTCACTTGCTTTCCTTGACTATTGTTTTGCCAAAGCCACGTATTACCAGATCGCTAAGATTGGCCGATATAGACGAAACATCGCTATTCGTTTGTGTGAATGTCAGCTGATCCTGTTTCATGGGATCGATGGGTCCGAAAGACTCCTCAATTTCGGGTATGCCTTTGTGTAAGAAAGGGAAGTGATAGCATTTAATTACGTGTGAACCTTTTGGTATTCAACTTTGCTGCTCACCTTTGATGACCTCGTTTAGGAATGCTTGTATGGATCGCGTTGAGCAGTTCGTAAAATCGGGCTCTTTGATGCGACAGGATTCAATATATGATGCTGTGCGTAAGCATATTAAATTGAGTTTCACTCCTTGATTAACTATATAAAAACATCGCTTACGTTTTTCCGTATAATATTCCATGCCTTTCACATAGACGACAGTCACAAAAAAACAAACCAAGCCAAGCTCTAACGCATCGAACATCGTATAAAACTTATATATGGATTAGTTTTTATAATATTCTTATGTTTATATTTTCCGTTCACCAAGCAAACGCGTTACTCGCGTTCAAATGAGAGATATTTCAGTGAGATTCTGAATCTTATATATCCCATATATGTAGAATATGTAGATACCTGCTCTGAGCGCCACATGCAGTTGCAGTTGCAGCAACTAGTTTAATTAAGTTAATATAATTCTGGAAAATACGTGAACAAGCTGAGCAATTTTATCTGTGTGTTTTGTACAACTAGGTTTTCAATGCAATACGAGGGCCTCTATGCACTTTATCTAAAATTTTGCAAAATTTATTTATAAAGTTAGAAAATAATAAAAGAACAAGAGTTCTTAAAAGCATGGAAAATATTTATGAAACACAAGAAAAATATTTTTAAAAATGTATTTTTATTTTTTATAATACACATATATATGTATGTTTTTTTTTTTTTTTTTTTTTTTTTTTGTAAAATATAGAATGCATTTATATTAAATTAAATAAATTTAAAAAAATATCGTTCTTCTAATTTACATACAAAATAAAATTTGTACTTTTTGTTTGTTTTTGCAATAACTTGAAGTAAATAAGCAATGAAAAGTAATATATATTTGAAGTGAATCATGGCTTGCTTAAAAGTTGATAAAACACTATTGTAGTTAAAATTTCCATGGCAGCTTACGTACTTCCTCTATAAGTTGTTTAATAAATTAAATGTGAATGACGATTTAAGGAAATCCCATTAAATACTATATAATAGCAAATAAAAAGTTGATTTGTTTATACATAGTTGCTTGTTGTATTTGCAATAAATCGATCTTGGCGATGTAATAACAATTATAACTAGTTATTATATATGCCGTGAGCAGATTTGAAATGCTCGGAATGTGGCATACTTCTAAGCAAAACAAAATATTCTTTCTGTTTAAGTTGTAGCTCAAGATTATGTTTCTATCAGTAAGGTATGACTTACTTTCATATTTTACTAACAAACTAATTAAAAAATTTTTATAAATTTTTTAGAAATTTAACGCAAAAGAGAACTCTTTTATATACATATACAGGAAAAAAAAAAAATAAAATAAAATAAAAGTCTCCATAATTGAACATGCGAATCGAAATTTTGTTTTATCTTTCAAGAAAGTTTCTTTTTAAATTTGTTATGATTGTGCTTTAATTCAGATGTATGTAATAATACAATTTCAAACGTCCTCCCTCATATGATATTAATATATATTATTATATAATTATATTATCTACATATATATTTATATGTATATATACATCTTCCGTTTGTGTTATATTTGTAATAACAAAAAAAAAAAAAACTTCTATATGCAATCATTCCAATGCGAGTTTGTATGTATATATAAATATACATATACATATATTTATGCATGACCAAGTTAAACTTGCAATTCTAAGAATGCTCAGAGCGAAAAAATCATACAAACACCAAGTTTGTATGCCAAATTTTTTACAATGAAATATTTTAAAGAGTTTATATTTTTAAAAATTGAAATGATGCATATAATTAAGAATTTCCTTTTTTCCAAACACAATGTTTGTATGCCTCATCTTTTACAATTAAATATTATATTTTATTTCAAAAATATATAATCCCTATATTTTGGAATGGAAATGATGCATAAAATTTAAAATTTCCTTTATACGAATTCTGTGCTATTTTAAAATTTAAATAATATTTGTTTAACATAAAATTTATTTAAATTATATCTTATTTAAAAATTTCACATACTCAACAATTGTGGCAAGGGTATTAAATGTTGCGTCTGCTATTAATATTAAATTTAAGATATGAGCAGCCAAAGTTCAGGCAGAGGCCGCATGGTAAGTTTGCGATAAGCCCTTCATTCTCGCTCTCAGAAACAACACTGGAAAAAATAATAAAGTGAACCAAACAGGCTTAAGCAAAAAAAAATTATATACATATATGATATAGAATATTTTAGCTTTAGTCATAATTTGAGACTATTTTTAGGCTCGACTATAAGTTACACATTCTTCTTGCAGTGTAAATGTATGTTCTTGTTCTACATAGTTCTGCGTTCTCATTGAAAACGAAATGATAGCACAGAACTTAGCTTGCGATTCGCTCAAGAGTTTACACTGCAAGAAGAATGTGTAACTTATAGTCGAGTCCACTCCCAGTTCTAAGTCGATCGGCGTAGTTACTGCACGATGTTGGTCCGACATATATTCATATATCTTCTATTGTCCAGTTACGCTTTGGCACAGATTTGCACAGTAAATAAATATGTTGGGAACAAAGTAAGTGATTCATGTATGCTACAGATGCATTCATATATGTGAACAACTTTTTTATGTATTATATATATTTCAACATATAGCTAAAAAAAGTTCAAGTATGCTGTAATGGCTATTACCGTACTCGCAGTGCGAAACTGGAATGTTCTCCCATATGTAAAAATTGTAGGAAAGGCAAGTGTATAAAGCCAAATGTATGCCAATGCTTTGCGGGCTACGACAATTTCAACCATTTGCCAAATGCTTAGTGAGTAACTTTTGTATAAAATGTTGTCTGACCAATTTCTATAACTCTACACATATCCAGTTGCGTTCCGAAATGCAAGGGCGACTGTAAAAACGGATATTGTGGATCGCCAGGAAAATGCAAGTGTGCCCAGCGTTACAAACTCGATGAAGCCACTGGGCATTGTTTACCGATCTGCGAAAAAGGCTGCCCAAATGGAACTTGCAAATTACCCGGAATTTGTATATGCAATGAGAATTATACATTAAATATAAAATCAAAGATATGCCAACCGATTTGCAAGGCCGGCTACAATCTGAATGTAACCCAAAATATTTGCGAACCTATCTGCGAAGACGGCTGCCTAAACGGCAGCTGCTCGGTCCCAAATGACTGCGAGTGTCTATCTGGATATATAAAAATTAGTAATTCTTTGTGTCTGCCGGATTGCCCACGTGGTTGTCAGAATGGTTTCTGTAGTGCTCCAGGAAAATGCACCTGTAACGAAGGATATTCTCCAGTCACTGAGAATAGATGTGCTCCAGAATGTAAAGATGGATGCGAGAACGGTGTCTGTAGTGCTCCAGGAAAATGCACCTGTAACGAAGGATATTCTCCAGTCACTGAGAATAGATGTGCTCCAGAATGTAAAGATGGATGCGAGAACGGTGTCTGTAGTGCTCCAGGAAAATGCACCTGTATCGAAGGATATTCTCCAGTCACTGAGAATAGATGTGCTCCAGAATGTAAAGATGGATGCGAGAACGGTGTCTGTAGTGCTCCAGGAAAATGCACCTGTATCGAAGGATATTCTCCAGTCACTGAGAATAGATGTGCTCCAGAATGTAAAGATGGATGCGAGAACGGTGTCTGTAGTGCTCCAGGAAAATGCACCTGTATCGAAGGATATTCTCCAGTCACTGAGAATAGATGTGCTCCAGAATGTAAAGATGGATGCGAGAACGGTGTCTGTAGTGCTCCAGGAAAATGCACCTGTAACGATGGATATTTTCCAGTCTCTGAGAATAGATGTGCTCCAGAATGTAAAGATGGATGCGAGAACGGTGTCTGTAGTGCTCCAGGAAAATGCACCTGTAACGAAGGATATTCTCCAGTCACTGAGAATAGATGTGCTCCAGAATGTAAAGATGGATGCGAGAACGGTGTCTGTAGTGCTCCAGGAAAATGCACCTGTAACGAAGGATATTTTCCAGTCTCTGAGAATAGATGTACTCCAGAATGTAAAGATGGATGCGAGAACGGTGTCTGTAGTGCTCCAGGAAAATGCACCTGTAACGAAGGATATTTTCCAGTCTCTGAGAATAGATGTGCTCCAGAATGTAAAGATGGATGCGAGAACGGTGTCTGTAGTGCTCCAGGAAAATGCACCTGTAACGAAGGATATTTTCCAGTCTCTGAGAATAGATGTGCTCCAGAATGTAAAGATGGATGCGAGAACGGTGTCTGTAGTGCTCCAGGAAAATGCACCTGTAACGAAGGATATTTTCCAGTCTCTGAGATTAGATGTGCTCCAGAATGTAAAGATGGATGCGAGAACGGTTTCTGTAGTGCTCCAGGAAAATGCACCTGTAACGAAGGATATTTTCCTGTCTCTGAGAATAGATGTGCTCCCGAATGTAAAGATGGATGCGAAAACGGTGTCTGTAGTGCTCCAGGAAAATGCACCTGTAACGAAGGATATTTTCCAGTCTCTGAGAATAGATGTGCTCCAGAATGTAAAGATGGATGCGAGAACGGTGTCTGTAGTGCTCCAGGAAAATGCACCTGTAACGAAGGATATTTTCCAGTCTCTGAGAATAGATGTGCTCCAGAATGTAAAGATGGATGCGAGAACGGTGTCTGTAGTGCTCCAGGAAAATGCACCTGTAACGAAGGATATTTTCCAGTCTCTGAGATTAGATGTGCTCCAGAATGTAAAGATGGATGCGAGAACGGTTTCTGTAGTGCTCCAGGAAAATGCACCTGTAACGAAGGATATTTTCCTGTCTCTGAGAATAGATGTGCTCCCGAATGTAAAGATGGATGCGAAAACGGATTCTGTAGTGCTCCAGGGAAATGCACCTGTAACGAAGGATATTCTCCAGTCACTGAGAATAGATGTGCTCCAGAATGTAAAGCTGGATGCGATAACGGTTTCTGTAGTGCTCCAGGGAAATGCACTTGTAACGAAGGATATTTTCCTGTCTCTGAGAATAGATGTGCTCCAGAATGTAAAGATGGATGCGAGAAAGGTGTCTGTAGTGCTCCAGGAAAATGCACTTGTAACGAAGGATATTCTCCAGTCACTGCGAATAGATGTGCTCCAGAATGTAAAGATGGATGCGAGAACGGTTTCTGTAGTGCTCCAGGAAAATGCACCTGTAACGAAGGATATTCTCCAGTCACTGAGAATAGATGTGCTCCCGAATGTAAAGATGGATGCGAGAACGGATTCTGTAGTGCTCCAGGGAAATGTACCTGTAACGAAGGATATTTGCCTTTGACTGAAAGCAGATGTGCTCCAGAATGTAAAGATGGATGCGAGAACGGTTTCTGTAGTGCACCAGGGCAATGCAGCTGTAATGAAGGATTTTCTCCAGTGACTGAAAACAGCTGTACCCCAGTTTGTGAAACCGGGTGCTCCACTGGTTTCTGTGCATCGCCTAACAACTGTAGTTGCTTTGAGGGTTTCGCCTTCAATGGAACTGCATGTGTTGCCCTATCGGATGACGCAAAGAGATCAAGTACCGCAGCGACAGAGATAACAGAAATTTCGGACATGGGACTGATGACGTGTGAGGAACGTTGCTGGAATGGAACTTGTGTGGAGGGACAGTGCTCCTGTGAGGAGCACTACTATTTGACCGTAGATAGTAAGAATACTCTCAGATTGCTTTGTCTGCCTGAGTGTAAGCAGAAGTGCGTCCATGGTTACTGTGCATATCCAGATGTATGTGTATGCTATGATGGCCAGGTTGCGGAAGAAGGAGTGGAGTGCCCAAGTCCTAATGACATAGAAACTTTGGGTCAAACTGGAAACTTGGCCCATTTGAAGTGGTTCATTGTATTGGTTGCTGGTACGATTATGGTATTGACAATGACAATAGTCGTGGTCATTTATAAATTAAGGAAGCATCATTACAGAGTAGACGTAAAAGGTGAGTCCAATCTATCCCTCCAATCTATCTAGATCTAATCAGTTTATTTTCGTTGCAGAACAACGTTATGGAGTGCACTTCTCAGCAAAACAAGCGGATATAATACGATCGTAGAGCCATTTTGATATGTCTGGCAAATTGTGCAAAGTGGAATGAAATCTCATGTACTTCGAGTGCTACTTCTAGATAAATTAAGAACGGATTATATTTAATATATGCAGGTTACTTAATGCCAGAAATCTAGAATGCTTCAATGCATATGGCTCTTGAAAAAATAAACATTCAAATTAACTATAAGATTATTAACAAATATCTTTATATATATATAATATGTAATACATGGTGGTTCATTTGGTGTTTTATAAAAACTTCTTCAACTTTCATTTTGATTTTATTTTTTTTTTATATTATTTTTCCTGTTCCATAATCTGAAGAGACCTATGAAAGTATGACTGATGAGCTACTGACGGCATCGAAAGAGAACAAGATTACTAAAAATATGTATCTATCGGGAATCACTTAAAAAAAAAAATTGAGATTGAAATAACGAAGAGAACACTCGAAAAACTAAAATTAAAGTCTCAGTACTTTTTAAATAGACCTCGTTTGGTAAACGCATATCGGTCAAAGGTAGGGTATTTGCTAGTCGGAGACTATTGACTGTTCATAGTAGTTATAGATATTTAGAGATTTGATCGCTAGCTTATTAAATATATGAGTGTACTATAAGCAGCAGTTGATCTAAACATAAAATGTGAAATAGATTTTTTGTTCAACTGATTGTATATATGATCTCAGGAAATTACCCGAGAATTACCCGGTCTGTTAGTCAGTTTACGCATATTGTAGTCGTCGATAAGGCTACACTGGAAGAAAATATAAATAGACTTATATATGTGTATAGAGAATAACGTTTCATATAAGCTCAGAGTAGTTCCTTACAAATTAACTTATGTTGAGCAATATGCAGCCCTATTTATGACTATCTAGAACTTCCCACCAGTGCACTGTAGTGAAAGCTCGGATGACTAAGTGACTTATACATATAAGCACTGAGTTAATTAAATCTGCGATACTCACACTATGCAATTTTTTTTCTCTTCAGTCTTACAGTTTAGTTGATCGAAGTAAATACAGTAAGATGCTAGTCCAGAATATATTCATATATTTTCTTTTACCCAGTTGCCGTTTGGCACAGATTTATACAAAGTATGCGTATAATAAAAAGGGCAAAGTAAGTTTTAAAGTTGTGCTACGACTATGAACGAGTATGTAATCAATTAATCAAACATAGAAAACAAGAATCTCTGATTGCTGCAGGGGCTACAAGAGCATTCCAAAGACCAAAACGCATTTTGAATGTAAGCCTATTTGTGCGAATTGTGAGAACGGCAAGTGCATTAAGCCTCATGTTTGTTAGTGCTTTAAGGGCTATGTTAATGATCAGCATATTCCATCGAATCCGTGAGTCAATAGCAGATGAACACATAATGCATATACATATTTAAATTATCGTCTTCTGGCTGTAACAGATGTGTGCCTGTCTGTAAGGACGGCTGCGTAAACGGCAGATGCTCGGCCTCAAATGACTGCGAGTGTCAACCAGGATATGTCAAAGTGAGTAGCTCCATGTGTCTGCCGGATTGCCCGAATGGCTGTAAGAACGGATTCTGTAGTGCTCCAGGAAAATATAGCTGTAACGAAGGATATTTTCCTGTCTGAGAACACGTGTGCTCAAGAATGTAAAGATGGATGCGAGAACGGTTTCTGTAGTGCACCAGGGCAATGCAGCTGTAATGAAGGATTTTCTCCAGTGACTGAAAACAGCTGTACCCCAGTTTGTGAACCCGGGTGCTCCACTGGTTTCTGAGCATCGCCTAACAACTGTAGTTGCTTTGAGGGTTTCGCCTTCAATGGAACTGCATGTGTTGTCCTATCGGATGACGCAAAGAGATCAAGTACCGCAGCGACAGAGATAACAGAAATTTCGGACATGGGACTGATGACGTGTGAGGAACGTTGCTGGAATGGAACTTGTGTGGAGGGACAGTGCTCCTGTGAGGAGCACTACTATTTGACCGTAGATAGTAAGAACACTCTCAGATTGCTTTGTCTGCATGAGTGTAAGCAGAAGTGCGTCCATAGTTACTGTGCATATCCAGATGTATGTGTATGCTATGATGGCCAGGTCGCGAAAGAAGGAGTGGAATGTCCAAGCCCTTATGGCACAGATAATTTAAGTCAAGCAGCAGGCTTTCTATATTCCATGTGGATTATTATATTAGTTTCTGTTATTATGGTATTGGCATTGACCATATATGTGAAAATTGTGGAAATAATAGAAATGGTTAACCCTCAATCTAACAGTAGTATATATACGCCATAATATTGACTTTTCTGTAAATCGAGGTGATTCCAACACAAGCTTAGAGCTACATTGATACGTCTTTCAGCCTTCAAGTATTGCAAATAATTTATGTAATAATATCCAGTTTATAATGCTTAAATGCAGTTTGCAATTCATGTAAATGAAATGCAACAAACATTTTACTATACGAGGGGAGAAATAGAAATTTGTGTTGAGTGTAATATGGAATGGGCTGATCAGAGTTTATTTTTATTATTTTCATGAGTATTATAATTATCGTTTATGTTATTGGTTTTTGCCATAGAGCTGCTGGGGCGTTGGAATATCCTCAATAATGAAATTAGCCGGTATCAGATGGAATACCTTGGACATGATCTCATAGAATATGTTCGCCACAGTTTCCAGTATAAGGGGCTTCAGCGCCTCGTAGAAGTCGCGCCAGTTATCATTGAAGAACTGATTCGTGCTACGCGCCACTTCCGGGCTGCGTCCATTGAATAGATTATCCAATTCGGTATGCACCCGGGACATATTCAGCTTAACGCGCACCGCGGTCACATTGTTAAAGGTGAAGCCGCCCTTCTCATACAGTCGCGTTGTGGTCAGCAGCAGTATATCCAGATCCTCTAAGGATGTTGACATTGACTATGATTAATTCTGATAGATTTTGAATGACTCACACTTACCGATCTCTATGTATAAGTGACCTGAGCCACTCAACGGTATTAGGAGTATGCGACCGGCCATTTGATATGTCGCATCCAGACGCATTTTGGGCAGATAGACTTTGGTTTGCCAGCCAAAGTCCTTTTTGCTAACGCTATGAGCACAAATAAAGTCAATATCAAGTATATATATATAAATATACATATATACATAAAGTGTTGTTCAATGCATTCCAACTCATTGTTTGTGCTTAGTCATAGACTTTATTTTTATTATATTTAAGTGCAGTCAACCTGAAGATATAAATATATGTTGATAATATTCAATCGTTAACTACTCACCGGCTTTCCATGATTATGGTCTTGGTGAAACCTTTCACCATCACATCGGTCAGATTGGCACTGATTGTGGCCACCTCATTGTTGTCCTGCTTAAAGTAGATATTCCTCACATGCATGGGATCGAAGGGTCCGATGGCCTCTACAACTTCCGGTATGCCAATGACCACTTGATCCAACAGCTTCTGTATGCTGTGCGTGGAACAGTTGGTGAAGCCCGGCTCATAGATGCGGCACGAGGGCAACCACGATGCTAATGATGGACGTACGTTATATAAGAGTGTCAACTGCATCGAGGTAGATTCGAAGGCCTATCCATTGGCCAACTTACGCTTCTGCGTGTAGTACTCCACGGCGACGACCCCGTTCAGTATACAAACTGCAGCAAGCAGGCCGCAGCTAAGGCTAAACGAACTTTTCATCGTGACGTCCGGCGAGTATCTAAATGCGAATCCAACTGACAGTGCGACTCGATTACATCAAACTGTTCCACACCATATATGAGATGCGAACGGAATGGAGGCAGTACGTTCTCGTCGCTGAGCTTTGAGCTCACAATTAAACCAGAAATTCTTAATGTCAGGCAGTTTTAAATCGAAGTGTCTAGGCGATCAATGCGAGTTTGTATATATGTATATGATTAACTAACTAGCTCTGTATTTATAAATAATTTTACATCTAATCGAAAAATTACACTATAATTATATTTGTTGAGATAAAAAAGTTTAATTCAATTTATTATGCAAATTATATCAATAGCTATTTTGCAGATGTGCATCTATTGAAATATATAAATTGATGCGTTATTTATTTTGAAGAGCTTGTGTATATATATATTATTAAGCTTTTATTATTATTATTTGTTGATCTGTAGTATTTATTAGGTGTTGTACCACTTTGCAATTTTTTACTAGCTTAAGTTATTTTTACATCTCTTTCTTCCTCTCTTACTCTACTTCACTCAGGCCGTCTATTTCTTTCCCCTTCTGCCCGTTTCTTTACCTTACTCTACATGTATTAGTTTTAAGGATTAGCCATAAAGCTAAGATTTGATCATATTCACGTTAATATTTATTCAGAGAATATATTTTACCTTTCACCATCAAAATTTGACAATATTTGCATCTATGAATTAATGAAAATTTTGTATAAAGTAGGTGGCCGGAACATAGCCAAATATCTTCTTCGTACGATCCAGTATAATCGCATCTAAGGTCTGTTGAATTGTTGGTTGAAGCATTTGGTAGAGTTCACGCCAATTCTCATTAAATATCGTATGGGCTGCATCACTCAGCTCGGGATTGTTGGGGAATAGATTGTTAAGTTTAATGTTGAAATTGCCGATCGATGTTAACGAGATTTTCACACGTTGCACATCGGCGAAATATCCTACATCAGAGCTGCGCGGCTTGACAGCCAATTCCATGCTAATGGCCAAATTTTCTGAAATTGAATATAGCACGATTTCAGTTCATTAGCTCTATGTATTTACGTAATTTACCTAGCTCGAAGTGACCGTTGCCATGGCCATTCAGAGGTAGGGCCAACACTTGACCCTTCACCTTGTAGTCAAAATCAAAACGCAATTTGGGCAGAAATAACAGACCTGCAGCAACATGCTTAGAGGGATTGTAGCTAAAAAGGCACAAATAATTGCATTAGTGATTATAAATTCTACATATATTATGTTACAGGGTATATTTTTTTAGATTGAGTTAATTTCTGATTGCCCACCTGGCTTCTTTCACGGTCAGCAGTCGTGCGCCTTTGATATAAACATTCTGCATATCCGCATTCAGCGAAATGGCGCTGTTTGTGTTCTGTGAGAATTTGATACGCTTCACGAGTAGTGGATCAAAGGAGCCCACTGCATTTGTGCCGGGTAAACCATTCCTCCACTCGACGAACATGTTCTGCATATTGCTGGACAGACATTTGCTAAACTGCGGATCCTCCAGGACGCAAGGCGTTAAATAACTGGCTAGATGGATCCGAAAACAAAATTTGAGTAAGTTCTTAATATTCTAGTTGTTGTTACTTACGTTTCTCGGCCAGATAATTGGAGGCTTTAGTCACAGCTATCAACATGGATATAGCCAAAAGGAAGAAACCATTAAAATTGTTTACTTTGTACATTTTTAAATTAAGATGCAGTGCAAATGCAAGCACAAAGAAAATATTGTTAGCTTAGCTTGAAAGCGACGAATGTTCTGATATTAAGGGAGTGCAGTCATTATATCTTATACTCCAAATGAAATTCAGAAATCCAGAATTATATATATATATATATATATATATATATATATAAATTTATATATTATTATTTTATTGTTTTCTTTCTCAAATTCACAGTTTTGGTTTAATTGACTTCAAAAATAAACGAGTTCTGTGGCGTTAGACTTGTCTGCATCATACAGGGTGATCTTGCCATATGAGCATTTAATAACAACATTTGCAATAACATCTATCTCCTCTTTCGCACCTACTGTTGACATCTTTTTCGCTCATATTTAAATTAGCTGCGAGTGCACTCAACGACCTTGACCTTTTAATCGGTTTTTATGTTGAACTAAGATGCAATGCAATGAAATGTATTTCAATTGACGTAAGCAATTTGTATCAATGCATTCAATACCCTACCAATTTTATAGCAAGATAGACTCAGCCAAACCAGAATTCATGACATTGTTTTTACACAGCCTATTTTAAATTTCTTATTAATTTATTCTAATTTAAAAATTAATTTTTGATATACATTTACCGCTTTAGCTTACGGCGGAGCCCATATATTTTGAACGAATAAAGACAGAAAAATATTTAATTTGTGCTTCTATTGATTGATATTTATTATAATTGATTTAATCATATACATTTAAAAGGTAATCCAAAAATTCTCTGCAAATATTGGAATTTTTAAAAATTTATTTATTTTTTTATAAAACATTAAAAAAAATTGTTGAAGTCTTCATAACAGAGACTTATTTGTTTATTTACATTTCTAAAATTCCCATACATAAATACAAAAATATATTTAAAGACTAGCTGAGATATATCTAATATATATTTTTAGTCTTAATAAAATTTAATGAGTTTTCATTTATATAAAATAGTTGCAGTTATTCAAACAACCTATATAGCTTTCTATTCAAGTTACTATACTCTGGAAATAATACATATTTATAGTAAGAGTGTGTCACATTATAATTTTAGTCTGGAGGAAGCCATTTGAATCAGTTGCTTATCTATTTTATGATTAATATTTATACATTTACTTACGATAATTTGACTAATTTTATTCATGTTTTTCTTAGCTTGAGCTATTCAAAATAAATTACACGATGTTTGTGTGTAAAAAGGTTTTGATATTCTCTGTCTCTCTCGCATATATTGTAAATGATTGACGATGCCACTCAGATCAAGGTCTGCGGCTGCGGGGCTAATAAACCCTCGCTTTTCATACAACATAATACATATACTAAAGTCGCACCGATCGAAAAGCTCATTTTGCATTTTTTTGTTGATCGCCAGTCCACGGTGAGCGGCCAACTGAAGCGGTAGCAATGCAGCTCCATCTGATAGTTGTCTTCTATTTGGCACTTGTTGCACCACTGAAATTTGTTGTGGTGCAAGCGCAAAAGCTTTTGCCTGAACCACGTTTGTATTACTATAGCAAATGATTTTCTTTTGGACTCAATTTTGATTTCATTTTCGACTTGTCTTTTAGCCACATTTATAAAGCCTTGCGCACTGAAGGATAGCCAGAGTAACGACTGCTTGGCTAGGAATATTGAAAACATCTTTCAACACTGGCGGAATGGTGAGTGTGTGTATATGCTGTAAATTCATATATGATTTACATATAATTTGTGTATTAATATGCAGCGAATTTCGTTATATATACATATTTCCATAAGTTTTCTAACACAAAAACTGTTTCTATATACATATATACAAATACAAAAGGCATAATTTCCACATTATTTGTAATTAAATTTATCTTGTTTCTACCACTACAATTTTCATTATAATACAATATATCATATACGTTTTCCAACGCTCTAAAATATTTATGCAGGACTTGCAAATTCAAATAGGATTTTGATATATTTTCCAACATTAACCACTTTCTGTCTATATACAGGCGTGCCGGGCCTCAGCGGTGTTGGCTCTCTGGATCCATTTCGGGTGAATCGCTTGCGCATTGCCCAACGAGTGCCACCAAATGTGGATGTGCGTGTGGAGTTGCGAAATATGACCACAGTGGGTCTCAGCCAGGCCAAGATACTGAACAGCACGTAAGTAGCGAACGTTGGGTAATGGACAATTCAGTTGTGTATAAAAAACAATCCTGTTTGTAGAACGTTGTACAACACTGGTCACTATAATCTTGGCTTTCATGTGCATCTAACACAAATCAATTTGACGAGCAAATACAAGCTCAAAGGGCATGTACTCCTACTCAATCTTAATAGCACCGGCATTTTGACCTCCGAGTTGGGTTAGTATATCCCATGTTTGTATGAAAAGCAGTTAAGTAAACTATGTATTTGCTTTTCAGACAATCTGGAGTTCTATGTGGCACTCAGAATGCAGCCACAGCAGGCAGAGGGCATCACATTCATGAATGTGAACGCAATTAAGACGGATATCGCACGCATCGACAACATTCGCATTAATCTAACAAATCTATTTAATGGCAACAAGGAACTGGAACGTAGTGCCAACGAGATCTTCAATGAGAATTGGCGCGTTCTGTTTGAAATCTTACGTCCCGTGCTGACCCAAACTTTTGACAGTGTTCTGGAGGATCGATTTACTAAAGTATTTCGTTATTTGCCAGCCAAGTATTTGTTCAAGGACGTTGAATAATTATTTTAAGCTCATTTAAAAAAAGTCGATTTGCCCAAAGTACATTAGCATAGAAAAACACTTAAATCTGGCTCTAAAGCTCACAAATACGAGAGACAAATATTAAGTATACGCCTCACAAATAAAATAGCTCTTAAACATAAATTATCAGCTTTATTCAAAAAAATACAAAATAGTGACTTGAAAATACCCTATAATGCATATGGGGGTATATATCCATAACATGCTTGCTTTCTTAGCTTGCTTATGTAGAATTACATATATACCTCTATGATATATTGATGAATTATCTTTACTATAGCTAAGTCGCTTAAAGCATATCTGGTTGTACATCCATAAGAGGTTTGATAGAGTGTAATAGCTAGAGAGTTGAAACTTTAAATATTTGTTACAACTTATTAACTTTTTCTAGTTATTGATTGTCAATAATATTCGAGAAATATAAAAGCGAAAACTTACTTTTTTGAACACATAAATTATAGATATTCCCTCCATCCGTTTGCTAAATTTGAATGGTACTGATTTTTACTTTGTCGTATATACGCATATGGATGTTCTTATCGAGCTCTGCTACGTATTATTGAGAAGAATAACTAGAATATAAGTTATTCAAGAATTGATAAAGCTTAGACCGAAAACTGCGCAATAAGTGCTCGCTTATGTGTGTGTGTATTGCTTGTTTTGTATGTGGAAACTTAGAATGACTGGAATAGCAACTCTTGGCAGACTGCAGGGTAGCTCTTAGTCAGGCATTTCCGACTATAGAACTCTTAAGTGTTTTAACAAACTTGACACCAATGAGTAATCGCTAGGTAGAGTAGAATATTTGTACAGGGTATATACATACTATACACAAGTATATACATACATACATATAGTTAAACAAGTTTCTTATAAACAGCTGTTTGAATAAACTCGGCCATTGTATGTTACCCTATCGCACAGCACACATCCCAGGTTACAGGGTATACTATTTTGTATACACAATTTGCATTTCTCTGTTGCCCTGCCAGCAACCAGTTTTGTGGCTATTGCAAACCAACTTGACTAGGTCAGTTGGCTCTTTCATTTCGATTCGCTTTTGGCTAGTTGCGAAAAAAGCCCAAAGAAATGGCTAACAGAAAGAGCAGAGCAAACGTTTTGGTTTTTATTATTAGTTATTCATCTCGCTAAATGGCCAATCGGCATGTTGTCCAGGCAAATGCTTTGCATAACTCGCATTGCTAGACTTCTGAGTCGAGTGTTGCTCCAGAAAGCTTCCGCATGCAATGCCCTAGGAGGACGGGCGCTGTGCGGGGTGTGCTCATTGCATATGCGTGTGCGCGGGCTGGCAGCATAAATTGTTGACGCTAAGAATTTTGTTTTGACTTTAATAACCTGATTGCCGATAGCGTTCTCCAAGGGGTACAGCTGGGGTGTTCGGGTGCTGTCTCTATTGGGGCATTCCATAAGCACTCGATTCTCGGCTCGGGGCACTGGCTTCGTATGTATGTAATTGTATGTATGTATATAAAACGCGCAGCTGATCGCTGCCCACCTGTGCCAATGTAGTAATTGAGTCTCGCTCGACTTCGGCTCGACAGTTTTACTTGAAATTTACTTATTTAGCTTTTATTATATTTTGTTGTTGTTGCTCTTGTTGTTGTTGCTGTTGTGCTCAGTGCTCGATTTGTGGTATAAAAGCGTTGCACGCCCTGATTTTCTTTTGAGTTGTCGTTTCGTTGCGCAGAGTCTCGAGTCACGAGTCGCACTTAAGCAAATTTAAGCCCAGACGTGAGATTGGTGAAAACGAAACAGAAAAAATGCTGAAACTGGTGAGCAAAACAAATGACAGAAAGAAAAGTGAAGCGCGAATATAGACGAAATGCATTTAGAATATAATCCAGCAATTGACAATTGTCAACCGGTTTCAACAAATAGTGTTTAAAGTTTATTTTGAGCTGAGTTCTCTAAATATTTATACAATTACATATGTATATATACATTCAAACATGTATGTAAATTAACCGACAGCAACGTCCTTGATAAGCTGTTAATGGAATGCAGTCAACTGCAGCTAACTATAGCTAATTAGCTACTAAATGTTAATCAATATAAGCCAATTGGAAATATAATTATGCAATAAAAAAGACTTTCCATTTGTTTGCCAATGCGTAGTTGAGCAATACAAACTGAGTTGAGTTAAGAGCAAAATACAATTTAACGATTATAATTGGAAAATTTGTAATAGTTATAATTTACAAACATTTAAATTTGAGTTTCGAGTCTGTTAATATCTAATGTTGTCATGTAATTTATACTCAGACTTTATTTTGTTCCAAATATTTATTAATTTGTTTAGTTTGTTAAAATATATATATATATTTAGCAATGTACGGGCAATTCTTTTAATTTATTTATGTATATAAAATAATTTTATTATTATATTAAAGCAATTATTTTGCAAATTCAAATCAATATGTTGCATTAAGATGAATTCATGAATTTTTTATTATTTGCTCCATATGCATATTTTGAATATCTGAATTCTTATACGTATATTTTATTTACCTCTATTATACATGAACTTTGTCTAATGCTTATATTTGCTTAAAAATAAAAATATTTGCTCAATATTCTTCATATATATATTACTGTTCACATATTTAGATTAGGTATTCAAAAATTTCGCTTTCTAAGATTTTAAAAGAAAATTAATTTTTTTTAATTTTTTTTTTTTTAAACTAAGGAATAAAAATACTTTAAAATAAGTTTTTTTTTCAAGTATTTTTATGCCTTTTTTTCTAGAAAAATAAAATTTGTCTTTATAATTTTAGAAAGTGAAATTTTTGAATACCTTATCTAAATATGTGAACAATATTATAACTTATAACATTGTAATTTTAATTTTATTTTTAAATACTTTTTAATAATTAAAATCTGCTGACAATAACTTCTACAATTTGTCAAATATTTTTCCATTTCCCTTAAGTTATCTGAACCTTCTTATATTCTACTAGAAAAATATACTCAATATGATCATTTTCTCTCTTCAGTTTATTGTGCATGGTCTCTTGCTGTTGGCGCTGGCCGCACACATGGCGTATGCGCAATATAAGGATTATACCACGCCCGTGCCCATATTGAAGCAGATCGATAAGCACAATGACGACGGCTCTTATACGTACGGCTATGAGGCGGCCGACAAGAGCTTCAAAATCGAAACAAAGTACCCGAATGGCGAGGTCTACGGCAAATACGGCTATGTGGACGATCAGGGCAAGGTGCGCGAAATCGAGTATGGGGCCAGCAAGCGAGGCTTTGAGCCCGCTGGCAGTCACATCAATGTGCCGCCGCCGACGCTCACGAACAACAATCCGTATCCGCTGGGACCCAATGAAATCGATGATGGCCAGTATCGTGAGGATCCCTCTGTCTACTACAAGGATGAGAAGTACAATCGACCCATTGCCGCCAGCAAGTTTAGCCTGAGCGACTTCGGGCGTGGCCAGCAGCAGCAGCCACAGCAACCGCAATATGCGCCAGCTCCAGCTCCGGCTCGGCCGTACTATAATCCCACACCACAATACTACAGTCCACCTACACCACAGCCGCGCTTCTATCAGCCGCCAGCCCCACAGCCCTACTATGCGCCACAGCAGCCGCAGCAGCGGCCCTACGCTGGACTGCCCGAGCAGCATCATCCGGCATTGCGTAATCTGAACATCTACACGGGCTCCTACAGCATTGACTATACGGGCAGGAAGTAGGTGCGGGACTCTGGGACTATATTTTGTATGTGTGTGAGTGTGTGGCTGCCGAGAGAGAGTTTGCGACTGATGTCTGTGGACAATGTCAATTTTGTTACTGCCAAATAAATCAGTCACTCCCGATGTCAATCTATTTACTATATACTTCATATATATACACAGTTGAATATATATACACACAATATATATTTGTAAATACACATGTGTGCGTATGTTTGTATGCAATAAAGTGCCGAAAAAACCCTCGATGCGATCTGTCTTTGTTTAGCCACAAAGTAATTCAATGAGCTTGGGGTTCCGCTTCAATTGAACTCCAATTGGAGTCCAATCGCAGCCAAATCAAATATTCAGCAATAATCGCAGCGCATTACGTCAACACTTTGGCTTATAAAAAGCGGACGGGCCCAAAGAATGATATAGTAAAAATTGTTACCGATTTAGATACCATTAGAAACGAGGTCTGCTTGTTTGTTGTTGTTATTGTTGTTGTTACTTTTCTGTTGCTTGCGGCTGTTTGCTTGTTTGTTGTTGGAATTTGGTGCACTTATGCAATGGCCCCAAAAACCACTTTCAAATGCACCACGAGCCCAACAACAAGAATAGCAACAACAACAACAACCAGTTGATCGGTCTGTGCTCCACTGGACAAACATCAGCTCCCAAGCTGCGGACAGGCCTCGGGTATACGAGCACATTGTGCAGGGGCGTTTGGCTAGTGTCAGCGTCTGTTGGGGGCTCTGAGCTGCACAGTGGTAGGAGGGCTTGGAACATGAGGTGAAATTTGTTGGTAGAAGTGAATTTAGTTTGGACGATTTACTATGTGAAGTTTGTGATATTTACTGGTAAAGAGGCGTATTGCGTAACCACGTTAGTTGCCTGCTATGGAATGTTTAGAGGGAATGTTTATATATAGCCATCAAATATATAAAATATTTAAATTAATGTAAATCTAAAATTATTACATTTTGTAATTTTGTGTTTTGATAAAATAAGTCTTATCAATCTAAAAATACTAAAAAGTAGTGCATGGCTTTATAGCAAGCAATTATTATACTCTAGACTGTTGACTGTTAGTTCCCCAATATATATAGATTTATATTAGTATTAGTCATTTCAACACATATTCGTTGTTTTATGCAGCAGTATATTATTGTGTTATTTAAATAAATATATTTTTATTATTAATATATTTTCTTTAATTTAAATAGTTACACAGCATTATTTATTAGTATTTAATAAATATATATTTTAATTATTTCTGGTATGTTTGTTACCAAATTTTTTTATTAAGTAAAAATTAGCTTACTGCATGATAATACATAATTTATGTAAATGGTGACTAATTCTTAATTTATTTTTTCGTATAATCTTGCTCCACTGTGCAATTGTATGGGTCATACTTGAAATGTTTTACTGGCAACAACACGAAGAACCAAATGCTAGTTGACTGCACCTATTAAATGCACACACAAACCGTCATATGCTACGGACACACACACACACACACACAAATACACACACTGTAGCACTTTTTATGGCAATGGAATTATTTTTGCACAGCATTTATATAATTTTGTCGAGCAAAATGTTGCTGTTGCAATTGTTGTTGTAGTTGCGGCTGTCGCTGCTGCCATGAAAGTGAAACTTGTCTGGGCGCTGTCAGGGCGTTGCCATGCCTCAAGAATTTCCTGCACAGCATTGAGTGGTATTTCAG